GCAAGTAACTCTGATCACACCTTATTTTTGAAGAAAGGAGAAGGTAAAATTATAACTTTGATTATTTATGTAGACGATATGATTGTTACAGGGAATGACCAAGATGAGATGTCTAGTTTGCAAAAATACTTCGCTTCTGAATTTGAGATGAAGCAACTTGGAAACCTTAAATATTTCTTGGATATTGAAGTAGCTAGATCTAAACATGGTATTTTTCTATGTCAAAGAAAGTATACTCTTGATTTACTATCTGAAACTGGACTGCTTGAGTGTAAACCTGTTGATACCCCAATTGAACAAAACCATATGCTATTTCAATGCCAAAATTCAGCCAACATAGACAAAGGGAAATATCAGAGGTTGGTAGGCAAACTAATTTACTTATCTCATACACGACCAGATATTACATATGCAGTAAATGTCGTTAGTCAATTTATGCATGATCCACGGAAAGCTCATATGGATGTTGTTGAAAGGATCTTGAGATATTTGAAGTCCACTCTTGGAAAAGGAATTTTATTCTCAAATCATGAAAACTTGAAGGTAGAAGGATATACTGACGATGATTGGGCAGGTTCAAGAAATGGTAGAAGGTCTACCTCTGGTTACTTTACATTTGTAGGAGGGAATCTTGTAAATTGGAGGAGCAAAAAACAACCGGTAGTAGCAAGGTCTAGTGATGAAGCTGAGTTTAGAGGCATGGCATTGGGAGTTTATGAACTTTTATGGATACGAAATATTTTATCAGATTTGAGTTTTGAATCAAAGGAGACTATGAATTTGTATTGTGACAATACATTAGCAATTGCAATTGCTCACAATCCTGTGCAGCATGATAGAATGAAGCATGTAGAAATCGATAGACATTTTATCAAAGAGAAACTTGAAGCTGAAATAATTTCATTTTCTTTTGTAAAATCTGAATTGCAGTTAGCAGATGTTCTCACTAAAGGAGTGGCAAGTAAGGTGTTTAATGAGTCCTTAGTCAAGTTGGAAATGTGTGATATCCATGCACCAACTTGAGAGGGGGTGTTAAGATAAGTCAAATATATTATTAGCTATATTAAGTAGGAAAATATTGTGTGCTATAAATAATTTATTTGTAATTATTGTGTACATCTGTCATTTCCTTGATAGAAGAGGAATTATAGAGACTATTTTGTGTATATATTGTATCATGATTAATGAATAATATATCAGAATTATTACTTTAAAAACTTCTATAATCATTCAATTTAAACTTCAAAGGCTTATGATTCATTTTAGTGGAGTATTTTGTCTTCTTTTCTTAACCGCATCAGAAGGTTTAAACTTTGTGTTAAATGAATTATGGTCGATAACACTTCACATTTTCATATTTTGCATTTCTAATTTGCTGATAACACCTTAATATTGGGGTGAGAAGAATTGGTTGAACTTTAATATTTTCTATTACATAAATGGTGTTCGAAGATGAATGTGGATAAATGGTTTTGTGGATTAAGGTGTTATGCTTGGAGTTCTCTGGAATGTATATTATCCTCAAAAGAAAATAGGGTAAAATGTAAAATCTTAGCTCATTAATCTCTGTTGTTTGTGATCAGATGTGGGAATGAGGAGTATTTGCAATTTTTTTAATTGTTTTTAGGCTTAAATAATCGGTTAGTATGTGATCCTTGTAAGTTAGTAAGTTATTGAGTTTAATTTCTATAATTTATTTATTTTTTATCAGAGTCTCTATATCTCATTTTTTATTTTTGGTTTAATCCCTAAAGTTAAAAATAGTATGAAAATCCGTAGGTTTTTTTACAAATTTTCCTTCAAATTTTTATGCAGATTTTGATTTTAAAACTAAAACGGATGTAAAAAGTAAAACATAAAGACTCATATAAAAAAAGTTACAGAAACTAAATTTAAAATTTTATTAATTTACAGAAACTAAAAGTGCATTTAAACCTTACTTTGAGAGTGTTTGGAGTGTTGTTCTTGTTTGGTTAAGAATTTCTTGTGTCTTAACAATTGATCCTTACCAGCATACTACTAAATTTTGTGACTTTATTTCAAAGACTAAGGCTTTTTAAGAAAAAACTTCAAATAATTTGGGTGACTTGCCTCTGGGTAATTTGGTATGAGAGAAATTTGAGACAATTTGAGGGAAAAAAAATTCTGTATATCATTGACAATGTAAAAAATGTGCTTTTTGTGATAGGTAAGAGTTAAACCTTTCGGGTTCGATGATCTTTTTCATCAATAGTGGACAAGATCATCAATCTTGTCCTTTAGCCTGTAAGTAATAGGATTTGCGTGGTTGGATTTTTGGAGAATTTAAATTGTACTTTTGTAGTGATTTTATTTTATTGTGTTGTGGAAAATAAATTTTGTTTAACCAATTGAATCTTAGAATATTGCCTATCATATCATTCATTCAGACTCATCTAGCTATAATCAGGCTTCTAAGTTGGACACTCACCTTGTGGAGAATGAGAATGTGTCCATTAATATCAGTTGGAGTCCCTCTGGTCTTGGTCGGGCTTGGGTCAAGTTGAACAATAATGAAGCTCCTAGTATGGTGCTCCCTCTGGTGGATATGGAGGTTTGTAAATCAAACTTTTTATCACTGTTATGTATGTATGTGTGTCTATGCATTCATATAATTTTAGTTCATATTTTCTAAAGTTGTTAATTCATATTCCAAAATCAGACTCTTTTTTATCTATGATTCAGGCTCAGCTTGTTTCAGGGAAAAAAATTTCGTATACTTGGTGTGTTCAGAGATTGAAATCTAAATTCTTAGGGTAATTTTAAATTTTTATCAGGGTGTGTGAGGTGTGTGAGAAATGCATGAGATGTAACGAGTAACCTTCTTTAACATTCTCTTGTAATATGTTCTTTGGGCCTAGGCCTCTACTTCTCTTTTTAAAGTTCATTTATAACTTATACTTTTTCTTTTAAAGTTAATAAAGAAAAATCCAAAACTAATATTTTCCTTATTCGAGGGCAATTGCCCTGTTCCCTAATATTTCCACAATATTTTTACACAATATCTTTGTATTTTGAAAATTTTATTAAAGCTTATACATTAAAATATTCATTCTCAAATTTTAGGAAGAGCAGGAGAGGTAAATAATGGGAAGTGAAGGAGGGGAGAGTATATGAAAGGAAGTAAAACTTTCCTAAACCACATTTTTTTCCCTCTAATTTGAAAGAATTTGAGAGGAGAATTATTTTACATTAATTATAATTATATTTATTATTTATTTTTATTTATTTGAATTTATTAAAATGTCTAAACTTCTATTTTTGACAAATTTTATCTTCTTATTTATTTTTATATATTCATCTTATTATTCATTAAATGTGTTTAATTTAAAGATTAAATATACAACACTCCGATAATGGAGGCGATTTTCGCTTTATCTGTGAAATTTTTGTTTTGAATTCCCTTCTGTAATATTTTTTTTGGTTTTACCCTCTAAACATGCAATTTAAACACAAAATATAGGGGTAAACTAAAAAAATATATTATAAGAGGATAACTTTGACGCTTAAAAGTCAAAAAAAAACATAGAATTTTAACATTTTAATGAGGGATTAAAAAAACAATTATAGGGGTAAACCCAAATTTGCATATATTGCTAAAGAGTGTTGTATATTTAACCCTTAATTTAATTTAATTTTTTTTACAATATTAATATCATTTTATTTTAACATTTTTCTTTGTAATAATTTTTTAAAATTTTATTCTTTTAAAATTATATATTATTAGTGTTATGTTTGTATAAAATATTTAATGAAGATCTCTAGTTGAATCCCGATATTCCGTTAATAAATTTATATTCGAATTATAAACATTAAATATCATGAGTTTATCGTAAAATTATAAAATAAAATAAAAAATTAAAATTTTTTCCTTCCCCTTATAAACCAAACATATTTGTAATTAAAATCTCTCTTCACTCCTTTCATATTTTGAACCTAACATAATTAAAATTCATCTCCACCCATCTCCTCGCATCCCCTCACTTTGACATAAAAATTCCTTCCCTCTTCCCCTCAATTGAAGCAAAAACACTGTTAATGTTTTAAGTAAGTGTCAATTATCCTTTCTGTCGCCTAAAAAGTGTCTCATTTGCACTTTTTTTATGTCTCAAAATAAATGTCTCTTTAAAATAGTAATAGAATATTTATTATTTTTTTTTCACACCTCCACTAACTATAATAAATAAAAATATTTTAGTAAAAAATATCAATTTTTTTAACACATCAAATCATTTTCTTAAGAACTGTGCACATCTCAAATAAGATATTTATTACGAGACAGAGGTAGTCTTATTACGAGACAGAGGTAGTAATATGGTAGGCCATAACCTTGGATTTCTCTTCTGCCATCGAAATAGATGAAGGAATATGCAGAAGAATGTTTGATTACTTGTAGCAGTTGGCTGCAACCAATTTAATGGTTGATATATCATAGCAGATTAAATGACAATGCTTTCCATAATCTAGCCCTATAATTCTTTGATACTAAACTGAATTCACTGTCAACATGAACAGCCAAAACCCAAAGGCGTTCAAGTGGGCACCTTGTAAGTTGTAATGATTGTAAATCACTTTCCAAAATCAAACTCAAGCAAAAGACGCATACCTTTAATAATTTGTAGCACCTATCAACTTAGTGACTGAATTTAAACCACTAGATAAACAAAATAACTTTGATTCGCAGATGCAAATAAAATCTCCATAAAAGGATAGTATGACAAACTATGAATCGACACCTCGTAGGCATTTCACGGTGTTGAATATGTGTCGGTGTCCGACATTTGTACTTGTATGATCGATGATTCAATGATTAATTATTGAGATTTCACAACTGTTTCATGCAAAATCTATTAATATGAAATTGCAATTATGATCTAATACAACACACAAAATAACCAAACCAGGGAAACAACATAAATCAGTAATAACAATAATCACAATAATTATGAATTCAACAATGATTGAACTTACTAGGAGTCATTCTACTGCTGTACAACTTGCAAGACAGAACATACTGATTGAATTAAAGACAGAATCAGTAGTAAAATTCCAGCAATGGAAGCCGCAGTTTGCCAAGGACTGCTACAATAATCGCGCCTGAGAGTAGCCTTCAATTTATGCAAAGGATCACTACAAAAACCATTCAAATCTTCGCAAAGAACAGAGTAATGAGAATTGAAATTCAAATGTGTAACATTTTTCCAAAGACTATTAAACAAATTAGCCACAGAATCACTATTCCCAAGCCAATTAACCAATATCCCCTTCTGAACAAGTATATCCACATCCCTTCCAGTATTAATGAGAAAATCCAAAACAGCAACATAATCAGTAATGTAGGACTCATAAGGATAATGACATTGCTCCAAAGCAACCATATTCCGAAACAAAATCTCAGTCCAATCCTCTACTTTCAATTGAGGGATTTCAAGAACTCGACCCGAAAACCTCAAGTCAAGTAAACACTCACTTTTAGTGTTCACTTTAAACCTAACACCTGCTTCTAACAACTCAGTTACACAGTGAAGATGTTTCATAGGTTCATCGATTCTGCGCGGCCGTCTTTCCAATGGATGTTGCAAGTGGAAAATTCTAATAAGATCAGTGAAATGCCTTATGCTAATATCACTATTATCAGAAACCAAGTTTGACTTATTGTAATAAGCAAAATAATCGAAAGTGAGATCAAGAAAAGAAGGGATCTTAGTCTTAGCACTAGTATGTGTAGAGTTAGAAGTAGTAAAAGAAATATTGAAGATTTTTTCAAGAATGAAAAAGGGTAATTGATTTTCAAGTAACAATAAATCTAATCTTATATGAGAAGCTAACCAAGGTTTTAAGAGAAAAGCATCATCTTGAGACCAATCATCATAATAGAATCTCCAGAAAAGCTCGATTATGAAACCAGAATCGATTAAGATCAATTTAACGAGTTCCTGATGGGTGAAGTCTAGGGTTTCGGAATAAGAACGGGTGAAAATAGGTATGATGGATTCAATGTAGTGAACAAAGATGTGTAAAGTTGAATCGGTTCTTCGGAGAAATGCTTTGAAGTAAATGAGTTTGTGTCGTTCCATGTTTTGGAGGCGGGGGTGGTGGTGGTGACGGTGGTGGAAAGGGCCGATGGAAATGACTTTGGGGGTGTATGCGTCGTCGTTGAGTCTGCGAATAACAAAGGGGACTTTGTAGATGCAACAGTCGGCGGTTACCGGTGGTTCTGTTTCGTCGAGCATGGAACTGATAGCATTCACCACCATGTCGTGGTGGTTCATGATTGACATTGACTGTTATATGGAGAAGAAGACTTGGCAAGAAAATGAACAAGCTATGACCCAATTAAAGTTCAAGTTGAAGTTTCTGAAAAATTTTCAGAATTTTTCATCCAAATAACCATGTTTCCACACAAATATTTTCAAACTACTCATCTTTTTAATATATTATCCAATCTACCCTAGTTTAGTAATTTTTTTATTTTTTTTTACAAGGGGGCGCCATGGGGTTGGAGTCTCCCTTATAATTTGTATGGGGGCGCCATGGGGGTTGGAGCCACCCTACAAATTATAAAGGGGGCGCCATACCCATTGGAGTCTCCCTTAAATGCCCTAAAGGGGGGCGTCATCCCCTATGGAGCCTCCTTTATACGAAATTAATTTTTTAAATGTATTATAATTAATATAATTAAAATATTATATTATGGTTTTCCAATTTTTTTTTTATAAATAGGTAGACATGTTGCTAACATTGTTTCATCCAAATTTAGAAGAGTGAGTCATGTTCCTTAGAAGATATGGGCATGTAATTTTTTCTCCGACGAAGCCTCCGATAAGGATGTTGTTTTGGAACATTCAGAGTTTAGAACAACTACGAAGAAATTTGAATCGGTGGCTAGAAGGAGACATTCCAAATGGTGAAAGAATTAGGAGTATTGAAAGACTTGTCTCGTACTTCTCTGTTGAAGACGGAAACATACGGCGTGACTGGGTGCGAATTAGAGATGACAACGAAGTTAGGTCTATGATGTTCGGAACTGATGATATTACTTTGATTGTTGTTATATCTTAGGTTATGTTGTAATAATCGTTGTATTTTAATGATTTGCGTTTTATGCTGTAGAAGTAATTCAATTCGTTTTTGTGGTAATGAAAAGTTGATATAAATATTAAATTGCACGATTACACAAATTTTAAAGACCAAATTAAATCTACCTAGAACTTGTTCCAACATTTGGACAGTTTTTCCTCGTATGCCCTGGAAGACGACATATTCCGCACAGTCTTTCCATTTTCTCAGCTGTATCCATTTCAGTTGTGATTCAGGTGCTTTTGGGGCGGCCCTTTTTGTTTCTTCTCATATTTTCATTGTGGTAGATTGTGTCTCCATGATAGGTTGGTCAGTAGTCCTCACTAGCTACCACTGGAAAACTGCTACTGTAGATACCGAATAAGTTGACGACCTTGTAAACTTCTGATAGCTGCAAGAATGGATCCTGACGAGCAGTTGAACATGCGGCAATGACATGTGAACAAGGCATGCAGAAGGTTTGAAACTTTCCGCAGTCGCACCAATTTTTATGAAGTTCCACCCTGTAGTATCCCATTGGCCGACCCTCGTTGTGATCCATTGTCTCATCAACAATGAAGCTGTAATCGTGACGATCAAATGGTCTAACTCAATGTGAGGCCGCCTTAGAAGTTTCATCCCTCATATACTTCATGCTTGATTCGCTGAATATTTGCCCTGATTGCAGTACAGCGCTCCATTTTTTGCCTCTTGCTGCAAATAGTGACCCCAATTTGTAATACGTTGCCCTTACCAACGCTGTGATGGGGAGGTTCCTAGTTCCCTTAAATACGCCGTTTAGGGATTCTACAAGATTTGTGGTCATGTGACCCCATCTACACCCTCCATCAAATGACCTAGTCCATTTCTCGACTGGAATATTATCCACCCACCTTAATGCTTCCACGCTTGACAACCTTATTTCTTCTCGGTAATACATGAACGATGGTTGGTTTAAGGCATACGCAACGTTCACAACTTTTTTACGGAGGTTTCTGTCTTTAATGTCCCGCATAAAATTCTGAGCAATGTGTCTTATGCAGAAGACATGGACAGAAGGAGGGTTGTGCCAACCATTAGCAGGATTGTTGTAGGCGCTCACAATAGAAGCATGTCTGTCAGAAGTCAGACATAAGTTGGGTTGTGGTGCGACATGTGTTCTGAGATTTCTGAGGAAGAAACTCCAAGCTTCGCCTGTCTCACCCTCGACCAGGGCAAAGGCAATCGAAAATATATTATTATTTCCGTCTTGTGCTACCGCCATCAACAATGTTCCTTTGTATTTTCCATACAACCATGTTCCATCGACTTGTATAACTGGTTTGCAGAACGCAAAACCTTTGATACATGGTTGAAATGCCCAAAAGAGGCGAGAAAATATCCTACTTCCAGCAACACATGTTCCTTCAAGAGTGTATGCTGGTAGTGACTCCAATATTACAACCGTACCAGGAACATACTTCTGAAGTGCTAGTAGATACTGTGGAAGTTGATGGTAAGAATGCTCCCAATTCCCATATACATATTCCACCGCTTTTATTCTACCTATCCAAGCTTTCCTATACGATGGGGTATAGTTGAACCGTGCATTGCAAGTTCGTCATGTGTTGAGGAGGACAATACACTTGATTTAATGGTAGGGCCTCTTCATCTATGTCTTGCAGGGGAGTCATTGCAGAGTAGTCCCCGCTCCCAAACAAATTAACCATTTGATCAACCATGGTCTCTGGATCTTCTTCCTCCTCGTCCACAACATCAATTTCATCTATATCCGTTGTTTCACCAACCTCATGTTCAGTTTGGCAGAGTAACAGATAAACCTCGATATAGTCGAGGCCAGATTGTTCGTGACTATCGAACATTTGATCAACATCGCTGTTGTCAAGTATTTTCTCTTGAAAATACTTGACCTCATTGTTATAAAAAAAAACAGGACTTCTGTAAATGATCTGGGAGATTTGACCAGACAAAATCTTCGACTGTATGCGCTCTTTGAAATGCACAAAATTTGCTTTTCTACTCATGGTTAATCGGGTAAGATCTGTATTTTGAAACCCGAAACCAGAATTCTCAGAGATGAAAGTCTCTCCATTATAATGGGCATGAACAATGTAATTGGATGTTCTAGACATGGTTGAATGATAGTTTAAGGGATGTATACTATTTTTTGCTTGAATGTATACATATATATTAAAATCCCACGAATTAAATATTATTAAAACTATAAGGGGAGCGTCGTGGGGGATGGAGCCCCTTCTTTAAGTTATAAGGGGGGCGCCGTGGGGGATGGAGCCCCTTCTTTAAGTTACAAGGGGGGCGCCGTGGGGGATGGAGCCCCTATGACACGTGTAAAAGAAGTTACTTTATGCATGCATGCAGTAGGACATGTGTAAGAATTCATCTATCAATATTTCTACACATCAATCTCTTCTTACACAAATTCAACTATCTCATTAATATCAATAAATATTACAACTACACAAATTAAATTTTTACCTATACAACCATAAATTCAAATTTCAAATTTCAAATTTCTAAATTTCATCTATAAATACTTCTCCTCTTCATTCTAAAAAACACATCAAATATATTCAACAATTCAAATTCTCCCAATACTTCCCCTCAAATTTCACTATAGAAGTCATGTCTCTGTTAACAATGGGTGAAACGCATCGAGGAACACCAAACAACATCTCGTCGTATGTAAGTATTTCTACTTGATAACTCACAATGTTGTATTAATTTGTTGCATTATAATGCATTTAAAATGTTCTAATGAAATGTTTTATTATTTTTTGTAACAATTACAATGTTCTAATGATATGTTCTATTTTTTTTGTAGGATACTCATGAATTTCGTACTCGTGGGCATAAATATTTCCCACATGATCCGTTGATTCAACCTTTTTTGGAGCGAGCAGGTTTTGGAGAGGTCGTTAAGATAACAAATTATCTCATTGATTCTAAGTTTATTTTGGCTTTGCAAGAAAGGTGGCGACCCGAGACGCACACATTTCATCTTCCAATAGGTGAATGTACAGTTACACTCGAGGACACATACATGTTATTGGGTTTACCCATTCATGGTAAGGCGGTTAACGGTAAAACCAATCCTACCGGTGATTTCATAAGAGAACTCTTGGGGGTTGAACCAACCCCACGAGATTTGAGGGGACAAAAAGTTTTAATGTCATGGCTCAAAAAAATTTATAGAGACTTGACATTAACCCCCGATTCTCCTGAAATTCTAAAAATTAGAAAAACCCGAATTTATATAATGCTATTAATAGGGTTATTTTTATGTCCGGATACAAGTGGAAGCGCCGTTCACTCTATGTACTTACCTTTATTAGATGACGTAGATAAAATAAAACAATATAGTTGGGGGTCCGCTACACTAGCGCACCTATATCGGTCTTTATGTCATAACTCAATAGCCAATACCGAAAATTGGACCGGATGTGGTGTTCTTCTACAATCTTGGGGTTAGTCAAGAATGACCAATCTAGCACCTATCCAACAAAATCAGTTTGAATTCCCATTCGCTAAAAGGTAATTATTTTTTCCAATTCTCATTCATCTATCAAAGTGTTTTTATTTATTAAGCATATTATTAATAAATTTTATTATTTTCGATTTGTAGGTGGTCTTCGCTTGGAATGAATTATGACAATTGTCCCCACTTCAGTATAACGCAGTACCGCAATCTTATTGATCACTTGGCGCAAGAAGATGTAAACTCACTCACCTACCTATTAATGTTATACTCTCCTTGAATATTATTAGAAAATACTAAACATTTTTTTCATCCTTCAGTTTATTTGGCGGCCGTATCTTGGTCTAGAAGCATTTCATCAAGTTGAACGACAAGATTCTGCGGTGTGGAGTGCAAAGGTGCCCATTATCAACTTCACCACCGTCGAAATGCACAACAGTGATCGTGTGAAACTTCAATTTGGAATGCTTCAAGATATTCCATGTCGCCCAAAGTGCATACCCGACAAATATCACAACGGTAAAGTCTCCGACCAATGAGAATATAATCCGTGGACCAAGTATGCAAAACACGAGTGTCGTGAATGGAGGCATCGCAACAACTATGTTTTGTCCGACAATGTGTTTCCATACGAGATGAAACAATCTATACAATACATGACTTGGTATAAGTCTGTATCAATTGGTTTCATTTCACATCCAAGGTATCTTAATGACCCACGCCAATAAGATTCATCCTCAAGGCCCCAACAACCAACCCAGCCCTATTTCCAACCGCCATTCCAACCTCAATGCCAACCATCAACCCAATACTATTTCCAACCGCCAACCCAACCCCATTTCCAACCGCCAACCCAACCCCATTTCCAACCCCCAACCCAACCCTATTTCCAACCCCCACTCACACAATCACAGCCATATGAACATACTCCTAACCAATTCACTCCATTCACACAAACTCATTCACAATCCGAATACCAACAACATCCACCACAATACCACACATACTCCCAGTTTCAAACACCCAATCAACCAATACCCACCCAATCATTTACACCCATCCCACCCTACGATCAGGCAGGCTATCGTCTTGACATTGCCTCGTCTAGCCAACCACCCCAAAATAACTATGAAGGCATGGGCAACTCTTTTGATTTGGATGACTTTACGGATATGGATTCGTCTTCATGGGCCGAAGTGATGCAAATGCTTGATGACGACACAGTGGACCCGACTCCACCACAAAGACCACTAAGAAACGTATGTAATCGAGGATGCGGTACGGGCGGACATTTAAATCGACCGAGTCGTAGAAATTAGTGTACAAGATCTTTCAAATGTAGCCATTTGTATGTGATTAAATTTATTTAATCCAAATTAATTTTTATTTGTTGTTTGGAATTTATTAATGAAAATATTAATTATTATTTATTTATAAATTGTTAAAAATATGAAACAATTTCAATATTAAAATATGAATTGTTAAAAATTATTCAGAAATTATTATTTACAAAATTATTATTTTTAAAAAAAATTTAATTTATTAAAAATTATTTATTAAATATTTTAAATTAATTAAACATTAAAAATAATTTTTAATTTTCGTTTAAGGGAGGCTCCAATGGGTATGGCGCCCCCTTTATAATTTGTAGGGTGGCTCCAACCCCCATGGCGCCCCCATACAAATTATAAGGGAGGCTCCAACCCCATGGCGCCCCCTTGTAAAAAAAAAAAAAAATACCAAACTAGGGTAGATTGGATAATATATTAGAAAAATGGGTAGTTTGAAAATATTTGTGTGGAAATATGGTTATTTGGGTGAAAAATTCAAATTTTCAACGTAACAAAATATTAAAGTTAATATTATATATTATATTTAAGGGTTTTAAATAAGTTTGTAATCTCTATAAATATTGCGATTTTTTTTAGTTTATAAAACTCAATTTCTTTACTTGCATTCCAGTCAAACACATATAGATATCCAAGGTGTAGTAATTTCCATGTGTAATAAGTTGTCTATATATGTTTGACTCAATGGCATAAGGAAATAAATCTTTTGGAGCAAACTCTTTTCAAAACCTTCATCAAGTTTCTAGTTTTTGCACCATAGCAAATGAAAGCTTCAACTTTACATGACACCAACTAAATATCATAATCAAATATACATTTTGAAAGAAAGCAAAACATACATATAATTAGGAACTACCAAGTACAGAGACAAAACATAGACGGTTGAGAACTAAAATTATAGAGGTGTTACTTCTACATAAAATTCAACCACACTTTTAGAAAAATAAAATAACAAGATCCACTAGTGAACCAAATACATGACTTCGATTTATATTGATTGTAAATGACTTTTTCTTTCGGGTCATGATGAAATGTCTTGTTAACTTGCCCTTTCTCCATTTATAAAATGAATCCAAAATGAATGAAGAATCGGTAGAAATAATCTCAATAAGAGTATCCAACGTAATGAAAAGAAATAGAGTTTTTTTTACAGCATTTAACTTCATACCCTGCGCACAACCATTTCAATTTCACCATAATCTGTAGAACACGGCCCACCACCATATCTTGCTAAGCCTTACATAACTTATCGTGAGCCAATTTCATGACATGTTGTTAGCTCACAAATTCGATGTCCATACTAAAATAAAATATTTGGATGGAATATTAAAACTTTGAAGAAGTATAAAAATCTTCAAATAAAGAGACCTTCGAGTAGGCTGAATTATTCTTGGGACTTAGAAATATTTCCAAATATTAAAGAGGCCACCTTCGACCGAGACCGATGGTTAAGTATTAGTGAAATTTTGAAATTCAAATAAAGGAGAGAGTAGTTATGCTTTCTCATGACTAAGCAAGACACGTGGCGCACATCCAGCAAGTGATTACATGCAACATGACATTTGTCATAGGCTGGTCATTTTAGGAGGTTAAGAGCAGTTAGTTTTATTATTATAAATAGGGGTTCTAGCATTGAATTCAGTGTGTTGTAATTTACTATTTGTACAAGTCACTCCCAAAATTACTCAAAGTATCAGAGTGTAGAGAAACGAGTTTTAGGAGAATGTACGTCATGTAAACACACCATCTTTACATTTTAATGAAACTTATTTTATTTTGCTTAATTTTAAAGAGTTGATCTTTACCTCTTTGCAATTTACATGTTTCTTACATTCTGCTTTACTTTGTTTTATCAAAATACATGTTTTTGTCATCATCAAAAAGGGGGAGATTGTAAGACAAGAATTGTCTCTACATGTTATCTCTATGTTTTGATGCTAACAATGAAATATTTGTGAAAGAACCATTTTATATTCTAATGTTTGTTATGTGCAGATCACGTCAATTAAGATATCAGATCAAACAAACAATATCAAGATGTGCATTTAATGCTATATACTAGTTACTTTGTGTAACGTGTCTCAAAGCGTATTAAAGAAGCAAGTTTGCCTCTGTATCTGATCACGATCAGAAAGATCCAAGGATGCTGGATATTGCAGTTGCAATGCGTATGTGGATTCTGTTCTGGGATGTGCATCTGATCTGTAAGCTAACAACGCATCTGAGATATAGTCCTCTAAGGAACAAGACTCTGAAGACTTGTTCTGAAGATCAAAGACTCTAAAGTCTCTGAAGAGATAGTCCTCTGAAGAACTAAGTGTTGAAGAATCTAATGACTTAAAGCTCTAAAGGCTAAAGGCTCTGAAGACCAAGTGCAGAAAGACTCTGAAGACTTGTTCTGAAGATCAAGACTCTGATGACTCTGATGACTCTGAAGATATAATCTCTGAAGAATTAGTCATGAAGATTCTCAAGACTGTTTCAGGGAAACTTAGTTATTGGAATGTTGAAGACTGGATTCTGAAGTTGAAGATTATTCATAAGCATTGTCTCACAAATGTTATATTAATGTTGCAAGCAAAGAACAAGTGAAAGTGACATCACAGTACTTTCTATCCATTGGAATATGACCGTTGGAAGTCAGAAAGGACATCTCTACCCTCACAACGGCTCTATTAAACAACACTATAAAAGAAGAACATTTGATTCATTCAAAAGTCAGCATTTTGGCACATCAGATAGCCTGTTGGCAAACAAGTAAACATGTGAGAAAGCTTTTAAGCAATATGGGAACTATTGTTCTAAATAATCTCTTAGAGATTTATCATTAGATAGTTTCTATATTAGAAAGTAGGGAGTTGTTGCTCAATACTTGCAATGAACTTATATTAGGAGTAATCAGCTTGATAAGAAGCATTCATGTAATCTCAAGTAAAACTATTCTACTTCAGAATTAGGGGTTCCTCAAGTGATCAAGTGAAGATCAGAAGACTTGAGAAGATCTAGTAGATCTGATTCTAACTGGGTCAATGATTGTTATATCCATTAATTTGGATCACTGAACATATCATTGTAAGTGTCTTTTGAGAGACTTAGTTGAGTCAGAATTCTCAAGAAGACTCTGGCTAAGATCAGATTTTGTTAGATCAATGAACGTTATATCCAGAAGGATCACTGAACGTATCATTGTTTATTTGTTAGTCACCTGTAGTTAGCTTGTGCATCTGTAATCAGTTTGGTTATAGTGGATTAAGTCCTCTAGTGAGAGAGGCGAAATCATTTGGAAGGATGGACTGGATTAGCTTGAGACTCTCTCAAGTGAACCAGGATATATCTTATGTTCTCTACTTGCAGTATGATTTGCTATTTGTGCTTCCGCTGTGCATCATTTATTATCTCATAAAGCAACAAGTGAAAAGATCTCAAGAAGTATTAATAAGTGGAAAACCCAATTCACCCCCCCTTCTTGTGTATTTCTCGTACCTTCAGTTGGTATCAGAGCTCCGGTTCTGTTATTGATAGATATTAAACACCTAACAGTGTCAGATAAATATCCAAAAGCAATGTGAAGAAATACTCTTGGTGATTTTCCACCTCTCTTACAATTTTAGTCTCATATCAGATATTGATGAAGATGAGTACTAAAATTGTATTCAAATGGATTACTTTAAGCAAGCCAATGATTCCTTGTAGTTTGAATTTTGATGTTATCAACAACAAAATCCTCTCCATTATATCTTGGAAGAAGATTGAAGAATTAGCAGACAAGATAGATTCATCTGATAAGAAGATATATCTGTTGAATTCTATTCTTAATATTCTATTGGTTTTCAATGTATTCGCTCAAAGATCAAATCAACAGAAAGCATGAAATCTTGCTTGCTGAAGATTAACTCTATTTGTGTATGAGATGTTCTCAAGAAATGGATTAGTCCACTCTTGACTTTCTCATGAAAAGATCATTGGGAATTATCTTTAGTAAGAAAAGAAATATGGTTGATTACTAAATTTGATTAATAAGGACTTCTGAATGAAGTATGTAGAAGAGGGTTGAACAGAGAAAGTTCTTATCTTAAAGAAATGTTTCTTCTGATCCAAGGCTTCAGAAAGGTGTTTTTTCTTGAGAAGCTTCAATGAAATATTTGGAAGTTTTGTGAAAGGGAGTTCATTAAACTCATCTAGGATATGAT